GACAAAATGACCAGTCAGCTGTTCACGAGTCCAAGTCAAATCTCCAGTCAGCTGTTCACGAGTCCAAGTCAAGTCTCCAGTCAGCTGTTCACGAGTCCAAGTCAAGTCTCCAGTCAGCTGTGCACGAGTCCAAGTCAAGTCTGCAGTCAGCTGTTCACGAGTCCAAGTCAAGTCGCAAGTCTCTATTTATGTGACTTAAGTGCGACTTAAGTCCAAGTCGCAGACTCGAGTTTCCATCTCTGCCGCCACCTATCTCTCAAATGGACCATTGACACTCCTAATTTAGATTGTAGATAGAGTGTCAATGGTCCATTTGAGAGATAGGTGGCGGTAATGCACTTATAAGTCTGCAATCCACCGTAAAGCAAGAAGAAGAAGAAGAAGACGCATCACGTGCCGGCTGTCCAGGACACGCTCAGGGCGCACTCAGAACAGACAGTTCAGACATTGCAGTGCATCAGAGGTAAAAAAAAAACTATATAAATACTGTTCAGTTTCTTGCACAGACCAATCGTTTCGTGTCTTTACACATCAATGTATTGTCACGAGCCGCATGGTTTAATTTGGTTTTGTTTGTGTATGCTTTTTGACTCTCAAAGTCGAGATTCCCATCCACTGACATTATAGGACTGACAGACTGCAGCGGTTTGACTTAAAAATCTCCGTTTGTGTTCTACTGAAGAAACAAAGTCACCTACATCTTGGATGCCCTGGGGGTAAGCAGATAAACATCACATTTTCATTTTTGGGTGTACTATCCCTTTAAGGTCACAAATTTTTTTGGAACTGATAGCCGAATACTATGGAGGACGAAACCTGCAAAAACAATAAATAAATAAATAAATACACAAATAAAATAAAAAAATGTGTGCATAAATACACGTATTCTTGTTTAAATACATAAATAAATAAATAAATACACAAATAAAATAAAAAAATGTGTGCATAAATACACGTATTCTTGTTTAAATACATAAATAAATAAATAAATACACAAATAAAATAAAAAAATGTGTGCATAAATACACGTATTCTTGTTTAAATACATAAATAAATAAATAAATACACAAATAAAATAAAAAAATGTGTGCATAAATACACGTATTCTTGTTTAAATACATAAATAAATAAATAAATACACAAATAAAATAAAAAAATGTGTGCATAAATACACGTATTCTTGTTTAAATACATAAATAAATAATTAAACATGTGATGAAAGTAGGCAAATAAATAAAATAAATTGGTGGGCAAATGGAAAATGTTTAAGGAAATGCTAAACTCATCCTAACTATTTTCCTTTGATCACTCAGGATGTATATGAGCCTCTGTTTGTACAATAATAAATTGAGAATCAACTGAGATGTACCCTTGTGTATGTCACTAATTTGGTTCTTCTGCTGTAAAGAGAGAGCGATTGCTGCAGATCGACTTGGTTGTAGAAGACCGTTTACTGACCATAAAAATGATCTTACACATACCTAAACAACAAGCAGGTAAAACCATCCTAATAAACACTAGCTGCCATCAAAAGAACGAGCCCTTATTCCACGGATAAAGTGAATAATCTCACGATGACCATGGGATACTGATATTACAGTTGTCTCTAGCTGGAGACTCAATCAGGTTACAAAAAATGATGTCAGGAAATGACACCTCTGGCCATTCCGTTGGGTCGTTTGTCAAGTCACAGATACTGTATGGACAATACAGCTCAGTTTTTTATGTATCTTGCTCTGTTGAATGGAAAAAGTGACTTTACGTAGGCCATACTGGATTAACACCATGCATCTCCTGTCAGCGGGAAAGGATTGTTTCTTTCGCCCCCAGCTATGACATGACCCCGACCAAGTCCATGGTTGACACCCTCTCATTAGCATGTTGTGCAGAGGAAAAAATAAATGTGGAACTACATTCAGAAATAAATGAGTGATCAAAGGAAAATAAATAGGATGAGTTTAGCATTTCCTTAAACATTTTCCATTTGCCCACCAATTTATTTTATTTATTTGCCTACTTTAATCACATGTTTAATTATTTCTATATGTATTTAAACAAGAATTTGTGTATTTATACACACATTTATTTATTTATTTATTTGCATATTTATTTATTTATTTGTGTATTTATTTATTTATTTATTTATTGGAAAGGATTGTGTTGTCCTCCATACAATACACATAAAAATAAGATTTTATAGCTTTTATCCATTCAGAAGGTGTAGATATTAGAAAGTGTAACAAAAAAACAACAACTATTAGATATATTTGTAGAGGCAATACTACTCCCCCTTGTGTCATATATTGGAAAAATATATATTTCTTATAAATTCTTATAATTTATTTTCTGAAGTGTTCAGGGGAAAAAAACATTTAATTTTGAATTATTTCTGACAGACTTACAATTTTATTATGTTATTTGTAAAAGCTACAACAGTGATGTTTATAGAACCCTCTGGTTATAATCTTTTCCTTTTGTAGTTTTTTTTTTAATCCCATGTTATTGACATTTTCGCAACCTTTTAAATAGTTACTGTTGAGTTTCAATCTGTACTGTTTGTGTGAAAGAACTTGAGAACTTGTATTTTCCACTTCCCGAGTGCCCCTGTTGTGTAATATTCGGTTCCCGTGAAAAAGTGTTCCAGTGGGCGGGGTTAGTATGAATATTCATAGCTTCGTTCCGCGGTGGGCGTGGCCTTTTGAACTACAAACAAGCGAATGGAAAGGATTGTGTTGTCTGTTCTTCAGCTCTTGTGTGATGAATTATTTTGAAAAGGCAATAAAGCCGAATGTTCATACGCCATGTTTAGATGTACAGCTGTTTATGTTATTCACAGAATAGGCTAACATGCTCATTGTTTCGCATGTGCTTTTATCAGAACGCTTTATCATGGCCATATGACAATGCTTTGCTGTGCAGCTTACGTGGATGATACTAAACACCAAGCACAGCACGAATCGAACACATTTCTGTCTTTGCTGTGCAGCTTACGTGGATGATACTAAACACCAAGCACAGCACGAATCGAACACATTTCTGTCGTTCCTCGTTGTTTTTTGTCGTTTCTTTTCAAGCTGTAAACTGTGTCCCTAGCCCCAACAGTTTATGTTGCTGTCTGTTTTGCTGCATCATAACTTTCACAACTTTTCATAACTTTCAGTGACTGCAATTAAACTCAAATGTGGTTAATGCATGTTCAAATAAAGATTTTTGAATGTTATCTGGTGTTGTTTTGTTGCCTTTTTTCGTGTTTTGTTTTTGTCAAGAGCCTTGTAACAATTCCAAAAATAAATCATTAGCAGCTGAGACATGTTTGTGGGTGTTTTCAGAGAGCTAAAATGCCATTTAAGAGAAGAGAGACCAAAAGGGGGGCTCTCACACACACATACACGAAGAGTTAACCTTTCCAATTTTATTCATGCATAAGTACATGCAGCAATGCATTACACATTGTAGGTGTTATCAGAATGCATATTTTCTCTGGCTGCACAAACACAAGATATTACAAAATAAATTAAAGAAACATAAATGACAAATTAAAACTCAGTTGTATCTAACTTTTTTTTAAATGCAGATTTTGCAAGAAACTACTGGCACGTGTCCTCAATTCATGTTTTTGTATGCTTACACCAATTTACATACATGTACACAAGTATGTTTAAAGCAAGTTGGAAAATTCAAAAATGTGATGGGTGGTTATAGCAATGATTAGAACAACAACAGCCCAAACCAAAGAAAAAACACACATTTTATAATACTGTGTTTGGCAAGCTGTTCCTTGCCCATCATCCTTGCACGCTGAGGGGAACATTAAAAGAAGTAATGAAAATTTTTATTAACTAGCTACATGAATCCAATTTGTTAAGCAACATAAATGAGCTGTGGTGTTGAGTTAAATAATTATATTAAATAGTATAAATAACAGCCTCTGATGAATAGGTTATGCCCATCAACCAAACATTTTGTTAGCTGGATTTCAAAAATGGATAGGAAAACTTTCCTCTTTAAAAAAGTCTGGGACAATCCCTGATGATTTAACAAAAAGCCAAAAACATGTGCTTTTGAGAAGGGCAAAGAAATTCATGATGAAGGGTGATTGAGGCATATTTGGTTTTATGTAGATCTTGGGTGGATGAGTCTTCTGGGGTGTAAAGATAATGGATTGTACAGTAATAAACAAATGTACTGCCTTTAGATGAAGTTTTGTACTATATAAGAAGACGGGGAGAGGGTGGGTTAGCCAAGGTGTTATGTTGAAGAGAGGAGGCAAAACAGGTTTGGAACAGTTTTTCCCGGAATCTGATTATTACACAACACCCTGGAAACATCCATGGCGGCTGTGTTTACCGGAGCATTCTGTCTGAAAAAGAAGTTTATCGTTAGTTTGTTAGCAGTGTTTGCTTTCCTCGTGCACGGTTAGACACTTGTTACAATTCATCTGCCTGTCAACGATAAAAAAATAAATAAATTAAAAAGTTTATACATATAACGTATTTCCCTTGTCAAATACAGTAATAAAAATATAATTTATAATATCTGAAATAGCTGTACTACTACTGACATGAGACCGCAGTAAAGATGATATTCAGATTTATTTTGGCTTTAAATAAGCAGTGCGCTGTCATAGACATGCAAATAATACCGAATATCATTCTCCATGATTTGTGAATTCAGGTGACGCTGTCCTTCGGGCCGAAATCG